GCTCGGGGCATCTCCAGGGTCGGACCTAGTTCCAGAGGGGAAGAGAGCTCCTGCGTCCTCACTGTAAAAGGAACCTGCACACACACATGCAAATTCCGTGCGCCCCCCACCCAGGCCGGAGCAGAGCTGGCGAGAGCCAGTATCCCAGCTGTGAGCAGTGCCCCCCTCTCACCTCTCACACCTGGGGTGCAGATGTTTTGGTGAACAGGCCTGGTGGAGGCTGGGGAGATTTGGGTTGTGGCTTCCGCAGCTGGGGATCCACCGTCCTGCCCGACAGAGGTTAGGAGATGGCCAGCTGTTCTGGTGGGACCTGGGTGGTAGCCAGGGGAGGCCCCAGGGGAAAGAAGCCTCCTCCCTAGTCAAGGCCAGACCAGGTCTGTGGGCCCAACAGATGTCTGACCAGCCTTCGGCAGCTCCCAACACCCCCCAGGCCAGACGCCTGGCTTCCTGCTGCTGGAAAGGGATAGGGAGTAGCTACTTTCCCAATGCTTTTCCTCTCCCCTGAGAAGATGCCTTCCTCCTCCTTCTAAGGAATTGGTTAAAGCCCAGTTACAACCTGCAGCCAGTCACCCCACCCACCCTGTCCCAGCACCAACCTTCCAGGGAAAAGGCCCATCAGATAATTCCATCATTGAGCTAGCCAGGGGTTCCATCAGCCCCTCTATGGAAACTGGGTACACATGGGGCAAAAAGGAGCCTCGATGGGCATTTAGTCTGGCACCCCCTCTAGGGCTCTGACTCCACCCACAGAATCCCCACCCCGCGGTCCTTCAGCTCTTGGCTGAGTACATCCAGGGACAGAGTTCTTCCGTCTCCGGGTGGTGCTGACTGTGAGGATGCGTTCCCTCATTTGAGTTGAATTCTGTGTCTTTCATGACCCACTAGTGAGTCCTTCTGATGCCTCACCCGGCAAATCCAAAGCTCCCCAGGGTCCTGTCCAAAAGCCCCCGTGTGGCTTCACCCGCCACCCAGGTATGCAGAGCCTGTCTCGGTTGTAGCACTGACAGTCCCACGTCCCAGGAAACCCTTCCGTCCCAAGAACTCTGGATCCCAGAACCAGCCGGCAGTGCTGTCTCCAGCAGACAGAATGCCAGAAGCTCCGAGGTGGGGAGCCAGAGCTGCTCTCCAGTGTGTGCCAGGGGTCACCAGCTGGGAGAGCGTGGATGGATCCCTACAGCCTTCCCCCAGCACTGGGGTGAGGAGCAATGGGAATAGCAATGGATTTTCATTGGACAGGCAGGGTGCTCAGGTGCTCTCTGAGGTCGACTATATCACCCCCAGTTTACACGTAAGGAAATGGACGCTGAGAAGGTTTGATGCCCATGGTCACGCAGGATTAGATTTCAGGCCTGTGCTCCGTCCTGCCCTCACCCTTCTCTGCAGGTGGGGCACAGTCAGAGGCCTGACCGCTTGGGTAACGTCCAGGTTTGGCCACCTGGTCTGTGGGTGTGAGTGGTCACAGAGGAGCAATATACCTGCTTCCCAAGCAACACACCTGGGTCTGAGCAGCTCCCCCTGAGCCCTTGGCTCACGGCAGCAATAGTGACCACAGTCTGGCAGGGGCCCTCCACACACGTGTGTGTGTGTGTGTGTGTGTGTGTGTGTGTGAACACATCCTGCTCAGGGAAGATGCACCTTGAGGTGGGAACTGAGACCCCTCCCCACCACGGAGCCCAGTCACTACAAACCCTTGGGAGAGGGTGGGTGGAGCAGTTGAGGGGAGGTGCCGAGTTGATGGGAATCGTAGAAATCATCCAGCCAGAACCCCCTCTGCACCCTCATTTCTCAGATGGGAAGACAATAGGCCAGAGGTGGAGGGGGCTTGCCACAGGATCGCGGACTTCCCGGCTGGATCCACGCTTCCCCTCTGTCACCCACCACAACCCTAGCCCCATCTGAAATGCAGTCCCATTGTGTGGATCTAGGGTCTGACAGGGAATGCGGGGCCCTACTCCATACCTGCCCCCCCACCCCCACCCCAAGGCAGCTCCTGGACGTGCTGTCTGTTAGCAGCTGCCCAGGAAGGCCAGCCCTGCCTTCAGACGGAGCAAACACTTCAGGATGTGAGGCCATTAGATCAACCAGTGGGAGTTCACTTCCTGCTTCAGTAGAATTGCCCTTAATTGAAGAAAAGAATAACTAGCAATTTAGAGAAGCTGACCTCCGCTGCCTGCAGGAGGGGAGCAGGAGCCAGCAGCTCTGCGAGGAGAGTGACGGCATCAGGGCTCCAGACCACACGCTTTCCCTGGGACCTGCTGCCCAGGCCTTTCCTCGGACCACAGTCTGTTCGGTCGCTGCCTCCAGAGTGGCCAGCTGCTCCCAGGCCCAGCCAAGCATTGCAACTTAGAGAACTGGAACAGGAATGTGCAGAGGCCTGAGCTGCCTGTTGTCTGGGAGAGTGTGTGCACAGATGTGGGCAGAGCTCCAGGCAGGTGGTGGGAGCTGGCTGGGGGGACTCCTCAAGGCGACAGACCCCAAGCCAGGGCATCCATCCTGGGCAGGCGGTATCCAAGCACTTGGGAAGGTCCGTCACAGTCTTCAGGAGCCAATGTGGCCCCTGGAAAGGCAGTCAGGCCAGGCTACCCTCCCTTCCTTTTTGGACACATTACGACCGGTGGAGTTAGGTATTGCCCTGCCTGCTGGGCCTGGCAGGGCTGCTGCCCAACTCTCTGGTAGTGACGTTCTGAACAGCATGGGAGTCAGGAGCGGGACAATGGCCGGTCGAGGGACTTATTTCTGTCCACCGCTGATGCAAGGAGGCCTGGGACCAGCTCAAGCACTTCAGCAAGGGTGACCACGACAGCGAAGTCCCACTGCCTCTGCCAATGGCACCTGTTCCCTCTCACCTGAGCCCCTAGAGATGTCTTCCCTCCCTGCAGGGCCTCCTGGCCTGCCCTGCACCCTTCTTGGCTCCCTCCTCACTGCTTCCCACACTTAAGTCCCTTGGTTGGTGTCCACTGCCATGGGGTCCACCTCCAATCACAAAAGTGGCCCCAGAAACAGATTCTCTTCTTTGGAGCCTTCCAGAGTAGCTCCGAGAATGGCTGGTGTGTTCTCACCACCTCCTTCTTGCCCCAGGCGAACCCCAGTTCTGCCCTCTGGCCAGGACACTCATCAGACTTTCGCTTGACCATAGTGTGTTCCGTCTCTGCCTCCGAGTGGCCAGCTGCTACCTCATTGAATACTTGAGTGCCCAGATGAGCTGAGGCCGCGTGGATTTCATGTCAGCAATTGCTCTTTAGCTCGCTTCTCCATCTCACCCAGTGGGATTCTGGAGAGAGGGTCTGGAGAGAGGCTGAGTGGTAGGTTTTTCAAGAAAAAGGGTGGTTGAGTGGAGGCAGAGAGATGTAGCAGCTTTGCTAAGGGGGTTTGGGGGGGGGGGGAGGGACCAAGCTGGTTAAAGACAGAGGCCATCCAATAGTTCCCACTGGGTAAGGGAGAATGGGACCCCTCCTCCCCTGCCCACAACCGGCAGCAACAATTTGCCTCCTCTGGCTTCAGCTTCAGCTTCAGCTTCAGCCAGTAGGAGCTGTATTTCGCGTTTGTTTGATGTCAAGACTGCTGAGATTGGCCCCAAGCAAGCTCAGTTGTCTTCAAGTTATACTTAGACCAAACACGAAACTAGGTGAACACCTAAACTCTGTTGCAAAGGCGGCCCTTGCCACGCCCATCAGCCAGGTGCCCGGGTGCCCTTCCTGCCCCACCCCCCAGCATTGTTCATTTATGACAAATTCCAGAACTCAGAAAACCAAACACAGTTGTAGATGATGAGGCACTAAAAAAACACCAGGTCGGCAGGGAAAGTGGCCTGTGGTTCCTGACTAGTAATGCAACAGCGTGGACAAGGGCAGGAAATCGCAACCAGGTTAGGTAAACAGATTATGCAGCAGACGGTGGTTTTATCTGCACCTAGGATACCATCTACACCTGTTATGGCTCGTGTACACCTTGCCTCAGGTACGGCCTCCCCTCAGGCTCCTCCTGCTCAGGCCCGGGCCTTGCTCTAGACGCCAGCAAGCTCCCAGCTCCCGCCAGGCTGGCCGAGAACACGGGAACTCGGGATGCGGCGTGGGAAGGTCCTGAGGACCATCCAGACCTAAATCTTCTTTGTTTATTTTGTTTCAACCAGAGATGCACAGAATGGCATTGGTGTCCTGCTCCCCGGCCCCCGGCCTCTCCCACCAATCAGAGCACTTAGTATGATAACACCTCATCTTTCTTCCCAGTCCCCTCTTAATGGCCCCCTCGGTTCACAGCCCCTCACTGCTACAAATGCTGCTGCCACACACATCCCCGTGGGGGAGATCCTCTGGGGCCCACGCACGGCAAAGGCTGGCGGCGCTGCCGAACCTGCCCCTTTCCCTAAAGACCACGTGGCCAAATGGCTCTCCAGAGAGACTGTGCTGTCGACGCCTTCGGTGACGGAT